GGGAGGCAAGGCCATTGCTGCATCACAGATTACAAATCTTTCTATGAATTATTTGTTTCCATCAAGTAAAAATGAAACATTAAAGATTAAACATTTGACCATTCTTTTCCAATCTCAGGAGACTGGAGAAGTATTCAGAGAAAAGTGGGGGGAGGAAATCTATTTAGGATTTTTAATGATAGCAATGGTCTTGTCCTTTCTCCAGTCTGAATGCTAAGAACTTTTCATTCCTTGGCACAATCATCACCCAAGAAAAAGGGATGAAATGTGCAGAGGAATGAAACAAGAACGAAACTGAAAGAGCTAACTTGAATGGTGGAACCCATTGAAATGACAGGAGATGCAGAAGAAACGAGAAGCCAAATACAGGTTATTCATTACTCTTAAGTGTTACTTGGAAACAGACTAACAAATATAGAGCTTACGGTAAGCTATGAAAAACAATGATGGATTTTCTCATAGAGTGGGTTTTTTAAAAAAATATCATCTTCAGAGATTATGGCAGCACATAAGATTATCTAGCCATAGTCACCTGAAGAAGATATGGGTTATTTCCTGGAAGAGAACCTTGAAATTTAATTTGGCTCAACTTTGACCATCTCATATTAGTAAAACCAGCTGAAAATGGAAAAGGATTAAGTTTTGATACCTGGGAAACAACTTTCTGAATCTAAAGCTCAATAAACTGGGTTTCAAAAACTTGTCAACATAAAGGCCAAATGATACTGTTTAATAAGTTTGCATTAAAATTTGTCATATGGTTGTTGATTTGTGCAAAGTACTGATGGTTGATCTGTTGGCTTACTGGAAACAGAATCTTCTAATTTTTTTAATACAATTTTTTTTTTGTGTTAAATGCAGTTGTGCTGCATTTAAATATCAAAATATTTTAATATATCTACAAATTCATGTTGCCTTAATCAACTATTAACTCAACATTTACAGCTGGTTGTTTAATTATAACAATTAACAAGTTATTTAGGTTATAGATTGGAAGTGATATCTTATTTTGCAACTACCTGTGTTCAATAGCTGCAGAGAAATTGGTGTAGGTCAGATACATACAGTAGATAATTTTATCCTTCTATTTTGGATGTGAAAAAAATCTTAACAAATGGAAAACTGATCAGTTACCAGGTTATATGATCCCAGGGTGTAATTTAATTTATTATTTACATTTTTATGTCACCTATCTTCCTTATAAGGTGACTCTGGGTGACTTACAGATTTTAAAAAGACAATAGAAAAATAAAATATTAAAACTATGCAAATTAAAAATGTAAAACTATTAAAAACAACAGGACTAAGAGACAGACAGCATGGAGAGGATGTCCTCTTATCCTATCAACCACCTCCAGCAGTGAGTGCCCCTCTGGGAGCCCCAAGCTAGCCAGCAAAAACAAGTTTTAATACCCTTCGGGAAGGCCTAAAGCAGCAGCTCCCAACTTTTGGGCAACCAGACACAGGTTCCATGGAGAGAGTTTTTTCCACAAACCAGGGAGTGGGGGCTTGGTTTTCAGTGCTGTCTGCATCCCACAAATAGAGTTTCGCTTGTTTGTGCGGCCCCGTTGCTGGCATGTTTGGGAAGCAGAATTGCTTAATCACCGTTTGAAAGTTCGTAGAGAAGATAAGAAAGGTTGAGACAGTTGGTGCCTCTATTACCTGACAAATGCACTGTATATTATGGTCTCTGTGAACATGTACCTACATACAGTGGACTCTCCAAATATGCTTTACAGATGAGCTAATAATAACCAAGATAGGTTTTAACAGCTAAAGTTTCTAGCCACTGACAGAGATTCTGAGAACTATACTTCCACCATAGTTGGAAGGCAGAAATGACACATAAACAGAAATATTGTTCAGTATGGATTGAATATGGATTTGTCTGAAATGGTACACAGTTTCCTGCCTAAACAGGAGGTTGGACTAGAAGATCTCTAAGGTGTCTTCCAACTCTGATGTTCTGTTATTGAATAGAATGTATTAAGTTTTAACTCTTAAACTCTTTTTGGAATGATAATAATACACAGTAATACAGATAATAATACAGTAATTTAAATGAGATAAAATATTTATAGCAAGAACTTAATAAACGGACTTCATTTGGGCTTCTGCATAGAGAATACAGAACAAGCCGTACCTTTACTGTAATTTGGGCAGAATATAGCTGGTTGTAATCTTTCTAATTGTTTGCCAACTTTTATTGCTTACAATAGGGCAATAATATATTAGCATATAAAAGAGGACATATGACGTGTCCTTCCCTAGTTTAAAGGTACAAGGTCATGGACATGATCATATTAGTTAGCGAGTTGTGTTAAGAGCTACGTTCTTTTCTACTCAGCTCATTTTAAAGTGAAGTGAAAATTACAGAAGGATGACTTTAACCAATATTTTAATGTCTCACTGTCTATGTGGGTCTCCAGTGCTTGTTTCCAATGCTAAGGTACGCTCTTGGGAAAGGTTTTCTTTCTGATTTGCTTGCCCTTGTCCGGTGTATAATTTCAAGTGTTTAACTGGTGTGAACTAGTATAACTATTTTTAACTGCAGTGTTATGCTGTTTTCAGTCAGATAACTATTGGCATTTAGAAGAAGAACTTTCTGAATGTTACTGTGTTGTTTTGTAAATATGAATTGCTGCCAGCTGTTGGGAGGATGGGTGTAGGTAGACCATTGAAGAGTTATGTTTAAATTGTTAATATTGTATTACATAACAAGGATATACAATAAAGGAGGGAGTTAATCATTTGAACACAGGGAAGTTGATGTCATTAGTGCAGTCTTATGCAGATATACATGTATTCAAGAGTAAATCTGAATAAAGGGGGATATATGTTCAATTAAATATTCATTAGGTGGCTTACATAGATCTATTGCTAACTTGTTTGCCTGAGGCAAGGTTCATGCAGGGAACTGTTTCTTAATAAGCAGTTGGAAGTTAGGACAGTTCAGAGTGCAAGTTGTATAAGTATTTGGAGGTAAGAGCGCTCCAGTACGGTACATCTTTTCCTCAGTTATGGTGCTAAAAAATACAAGCTTACTTACAGCAAGATACTTTGCTTATCTTTATCCATAACAATTTTGTATCTTTAGGACTTGAAAATATGTATTCTAACTGGATGTTATTTGTAATAATATGTTGCATTATGTCTTTAAATGCTATCAGAGGCTGACATTAGCAAATGAGTCAGAAATATAGAAGATTACCAAAATTTAGTATTTTCTAATTGGAACGTTTATCATCTGCTGCAGTCTGACTCCTTCAAAATGACTGAAACGACAATTCCCATGCATGCTAGCTAGTGAATTATGGGAGTTGTAGTCCCATAATAGTTGAAAAGGTATCAGATTGGGAAAAAATACTTTGGACCACTGATAGGGTTTCTACTTTCTTAGTCCAAATGTTGCTCAAACATTTTTTCTTTCAGTTAGTTGTAAGAAAAACTCAGATCACTGGATCACTTGACAGCATGGTAGTTTTGATTCAAGTCAACTTTCTCTAGCCAGATGCTTCAAGACTGTGTTAGTTCCCTTGATCTCTTAGCTGGCATGGGCCTAGGCCAGCTGGAGGATTGTGAAAATAGAAATTCAACATATCTGGAGGTTAATCGGTTAAGGAAGAATACTGCTGCTTTTGTTCAAAGGAAGGCATGTTCTTTTTGAGCTAATTGTTTCTATCCATTCCCATCAGATAAGGTTGCAAAATCATCTGCCAATATAGTGTCTAGTTTCATAAATTGGACTGAGATACAATGTGTGTATATGAAACGGGTAGATAGGGATATTTGCTCATTTTCCATTAAGCGGATTATGTAACTCCAAGACTTATACTTCACAAACCATGATTTTATGTCTTGCTCGGCCAACATGGATAAAAGAAAATGAGTTATCATGATGAATAAACCCAATGTCTTCTGTAAATTAATTGGAAAAATAGCTAAGAAAATGAAGTTAGCAATATGCATGCATCTTGCCTTAATTAAATCTTTGTGTTTAATGGAACTCACAACCCTAGTAAGAAGGTTGTAGAGTTAAGCATTAGGTTCATTTTTTGTAACAGTAGTGCAAAAGGAAAATGAGATAGTAAGTCATTAATGTATCTTGGCTTTTTTTCCAGAGTAATTTCAAATCATCATAGCCGTATATTTCATGTCATACAATGATCCACAACTTCCCTATTATTCAATATTAATGTCCCTCAGTTAAGAACAAACAGTAGGTTGGAGATACTGTATTTATTCAATATTAATGTCCCTCAGTTAAGAACAAACAGTAGGTTGGAGATACTGTATAACCATTCTGTTTTGCAACAAGAAATGTTATAATGTCATTGCACAAATAACTAAAATATGTAGTTTCCCTAAATAAATTTTAACATGATGGAAATCCATAAGCCATGTTTTAATGCACACACCATTGTTTCTCTTTCATGACTTCTCTTGAGGACACCTTTGACTGCCACAGTTATAATTCCACAGTCAATCTGGTCTTTGTAAGAGTTATAATCATAACACACAGGAAATCATAGATCTGAAAACTCTACTTTATGCTTTGGTCACATGCTGCTACAAACTACTGGATAAATACCTCCTTTTTAAATAGAATGTATATATTTTGGTAAAATTTCCTATCCCCCAAAAATGTCTGAATTTGCCATTGGCTTTTTAAAAATTAATGTTTTACCACAGGCTATCAACATTTGCTATAAAATATGCTTGATTGTATATGTATAGTCTCATTAAATGGCTTATTTTACCTCTTTTTGCTAGGGGGACGGGATTATTGCTTTTCATTGATTTTTTTATATTAGGTTTTTATCCTTGTAAGCTGCCCGGAGTCATTGAGAGTGAATTGGGCAGCCATATACATTTTATTAATTTAAACAGAAATGGAAGAGGAAATTGCATGGTACATAGACCCTATTTAGAACAACATAAATCCTTATATGATTTTAAAGTATTTTTGGTTTATTTGACTTGTTCACCTTTGAAAAAAGGTTGTTACTGATGAACACTGGAAGAAGTTTCAAGATGAAGAAAGAACAGATGCTCAAAAAGTCCGAACCAGAAGATGGGGTTCTGGAAAAAGATCTCGGCCTCGGCCCCTGTCAGATTATGGCCAGTTGGCAATTAGAAGTTTGTCCATTCCAGAAGATTCTGTCGCTTTGGATTCCCAGGAAATGGACTCTCTGGAGAATGACAGTGAGACCAAGCCTCCCCCTGTTAAATCAGGCACTTGTGCAGTAGCCAATCCAAAAGCTCACAGAAGACGACCCATCTCTATCATTGGTGCAATCAGTTATTATGAAAATAATCAAACGGAAGAAATTACCGCTCTCCTTGCACAAGTAAGAAATAAAATTCACTCATTGAAAAAACTCAATCAAAAGATCATCCTTCTTTTCTTCCCTGTAACCTTCAAATTAGAACATAGTGGATGCTCCTATTCCTTCTTTCTGCTTCCTCCAAATCATCACTACATATTTATTCTTCTAAAAGCATGATATCAGATTAATTAATACTTTTATGTAGATAATTCTTGCTCTATAATTATGCTATACTATGCTATACTAACTTTTCCTCCCCTGAATGTTGCTGCTTTTGTTTGAGGTTTTAAGATATTTCTCTTTTACTGTGCACCTCTTTGTTCTGTAATAAAAAAATACTGATGATGTTGCATTATAAGAAAAGTAACATGATATTTCAGAGTATAGAGACATTTATGAATAGTAACTGGGCATGTACATAACCAATTTAATGCAGATTTATAAGAGATGATTCATGACGATTCATGAATCTGGCCTAGATGGTTAGAATATGATCTAGCTTCATAGTTACAAAAGTTTAAAAGCATAATAAATATTTTTATTATTTCAATGTATGATTATTATAATTAATGTATCATTATTGAAAATCAAAGACCTTGCTATCATGTGTATAATATGATCATCTAACAGAATAGATATATATTCCTCTTGGTATTAAGCAAGCATTGCTTTGTGATCCTATCTATGTCTACTCTTATTTTTTATTATCCAATCTTTTTATTTCAAAAGAAAAACTGAAGCAAGTAACCATCATTATCATAAAATCCTTTTGAGAAAATCATAATAATCTGAGGACCCTTGGTTGTAGGATCAGTTTTTTGGAGTTCATCTAAAGTGATTATGATAGTATATGTGAGTGGTGGCTAACCTTTTTGGGCTCCTGTGCCAAAAATTGTGTGCGCGCTGGCCAGCACCCAGAAGACAATGCGTGCCCCCCGCCCCGTGTGCATGCATGTGCAATCCCACTGCTGCTCCCCCCTTATCTGCACTGCACCTCACAGCTGATTTTCGGCTGGTTTGAGGCCTTTTTCGGCTTCCCAGAGGCTTGAAAAAAGCCTCTGCAGGCCGAATAGGCCTGTTTCATCACTTCCAGTATTACAGGAAGTGACAAAACGGGCCTATTGGTCCTGCAGAGGCTTTTTTCAAGCCTCTGGGAGGCTGAAAAAGGCCTCAAACCAACCGAAAATCAACTGTGAGGCACGCACATGCACAGTGAGGTAAGTTTGCCTGTGGCTCGCATGCTGACACAAATGGCTCTGCGTGCCACAGGTTCGCCATCACAAGTATAAGCAATAAATAATATAGAAATATGAAAGACCTATTCATTTAAAAAAACAAACTGAAGATGCAAATCAAGTTAGAATATTGGAAGTTATACTTTATTGTGTTACAATTCCAAGAAGGGTTTTACTTAACTGTATTGATTTTGGCCACAGTTGCATGGCATGAGGCATGATATAAACAACAGTTTATCTGCAAATGTTCTCAAGAGCTTACAACCTCACATTGCATAACTATAAGATACCAATCTTCAGTTTGTTTATAGGTTGTTGTGCTATCTCAATGACATATATGGAGAGAAAAAGAAATACAGTATCACTCTTAATTCTTGTAGGTTGATTAAACCATCACAGCTGGGTGATTTGCAGCTGTGCTACTCACAAGGAAGAACATATAGGCATGTTCACAATTTAAATGTAGTTAGCTATAGCAATTGTTCAAACGTGGCTCTTGGCTCAGTTATATGAAACACAAGTTATAAAAAAATAAATTTGAAAAATATTGACTTAATTCTTATTTTCAACCTGCAGGTTTTTTTTAAAGTATATGTTTTACAGCCCACCCTGAAATGTTGTAACCAAACATGTAACCAAAAAAAGAGAGAAATATTTTTGCAAATGTTGCCAAGATAGATTAACAAGATAGATTCATTTCATTCACTCAGAATTCAAATTGTGAATGGATGCATACAATTCTTTGTGATACAAAGTCTGTAAACATGTAGGCTTTGAGTTGTGTGAGTGATGTATTTGGATTTGAATAGTGGAGTTAATGTAAATAAAATTTAATTTTACAATAAGTCACTGAACTCAGTAGATCTTGAATAGGTCTAGCTGTATTCATAGGTTTCTGGTAGAGATACCTTGCTTAGAAATTTTCTCTGTTTTTGCCTCTGAATATTTGCAAAGATAGGTTTATTTAATTTCACAGATAAATATGGAAGCTTTGCAAAACAAAAACAAAAAAAAACCAACCCAAACCTTGAATTATTTACTTTAATATTAATTTCCTTTAAAGGCAACATTTTGTGTTAATAAGGTAACAGTCACTATTCATTTATTGGAAAAAAGCTAGGCTATTATCTTTAAACTTCCCGTTGTGGAAACATCACAAATATTGTTTCATTATATTGTTACTTTTCTTACTTTTTCAATAAAAATGGGCAGTTTTTCTATGCATGTATAATTCATCCTGCCTCCCACATACTCTGTTCTCCAAGGCAGTCTTCCACAGTAAACATTTGCTGTGCTAATGCATATTTGCTGGATGTAAGCTTGAAGTAAATACCATCTTACTACCAGTGTTAATAAAAAGTTGAAATGCTTACAAACAAACGTGTGGAAATCATTGTAAACTCCTTGTGCTTGTATAGGACCCACAAGGAAAATGGGAAAAAGAGGGTTTTATAAGTGAACCATCTAGTTTAACTGGAAGGTATGAAGCACTGTAAACATGATGGATCAAAAGAGATTTTGAAGGTTTTTGTAAAGATTATTTTAAGAAAAAGAGAAAGGAAATCAATTGTATGCAAAGAATGAGAGAAAATGCACAAAAATGCCGGGGTATTTAAGTTGTATTTCTGTTTCATAGTCAGCTTTTAAAAAATCAATCTAGAACATAAGCTAGTAGAATGCCAGAAAGTAAAATCCCTTTTTAGTCCTACTTTCACTTGCTTGACAATTTAATTTAGAAGAAGGAAGCATTTCAGTTTCAATGAATATTAAGTCTTTCCAGACAAAAGAGCTGCTCGAAAAGCTGTGAAAACCTGACAAAGAGGTTGTCAGAGCTTTAGAACTGAAATGTGAAAAGTGCTCACTTCCTCTTTATTAAGGGCGAATTAGTTAAAAAGAGCGAATAAGAAAAAGTGAAAAGGGATATTTTATTTTTATAGAGGAAGAAGAAGCTTGGAGTTAGACATCTGTATGAAATACATGAATTGAAAATTGCTTTTAAAAATGTTTATTGTGTTGGAATTGTGAACAGGACCAGAAAAAGGTACTTAATGAAAATCAAATGCTCTATCCCTGATTCGTGATTTCAGCCAAACCATAAACCAGCCAAGCCTTCCTATGTAGGAAGGATTTTTAAAAAAAGTCAAGATGGTGATTGTGATCCATGATCAAAGCCCCAGTGATGAGTAAGGGCGAAGCTTCAATTGTACGGTGGAAGCAGCCATCTTGACATTTTTTGACCCTCCCTGCTGAATCCTTGTCATAAACATAAAACAAGCCACTTGGGTTGCTTGTTTGCTTTCTGCTATGCTTAATAATATGGCAGCCCAAAAAAAAAGACCCTTTCAATCATGGGTCTGAAATTTTCCCTGATATTTATTTTAGTGACTCCTGGGACCTTATTGGAAGCTATATTTTACCTCAGCCCATCCTATAATTTAAATGGTGAATATAATAATACTAATGAACATTAATATGTTTCTGGTTTAGTATGTTTGTAGATTTTGCCTGGAAATGAATACTACTCTGTTGATTATGGAGATTGTAATTAGTTGGAGTAATTAGTATTTCCATAGTAATTTGGCTTTTTAAGTTTGAATTTCATTTAACTTAGTTTTGCTATATTTATTTAATTACATCAACTTCTAAGAGTCTTGATACATCATTAAATGAACTCTTCCCTCCTCTGTCAAAAATTATTGTGCATGGTTCATATATCTCAATCATCCAGTGTTTAAACTATACAAGTGTCACTAATTTAGCTAGAAAACAAATATTGCCCTTCTTATTTTTTCCCCTAAATTTGATGAACATTTAATTCAGTTCTTCTTTAGAATATGGAGTATTTATTCACTATTTGAATTTATTATTGCTGCCCAACTCTAATTTATAGAATATGTGTGCATGTATTTTAATTCAAACATCTTAAAATGTTAAATAATAGGCTTAATTTCAACAATTGGAAAAATTTGGAAGCTCTTTTGCTTTTGTTTAATGCTTCAGCAAGCTGTATACTCCAATGTTTTATTTCACTTTATTCCTCTTTCCTTTTCTTTCACTTAGTTCCAAGAAGTCAGGTAGCATGTATTGTCAGATTTTATTTTTTCTCTAAATTGTTTTTTCCTGAAATATATTCTGAATATCTGCGAGACTTGGGCTTTTCCCAAACCGTCTGATATTTTCCATGTCTGCATGAATGACACCCTTGTATGTAAGCAATTATATTCATCTCACAGTAGAAACAGAGATAGGAAAGGAACAGTATGTTGCAGCTAAATATGTTCATTCAATATTTCAGTGAGCCTCCAAGATCTTTTTTCTGAATATTCTAGTATATTACCTTCTCCATTTTTACATTTCTTGTTCAATTGTCCCTGAAAATGATTAGTATTTTTATTAGCAATAAATTTGTAAAGTCATCAAATCACAAGTAACTCAAGGTGGCATAGAAAGAGAGTTAAAAACAAATCGTGATAATAAATGGGTCATAGGAAATTTAGAGAAAATGCTATAGGTGGTTCTCGACTTATGACCACAATTGAGTCCAACATTTAAGGTGCTAAGTGAGACATTTGTTAAGTGAACTTCCCCCCTTTTATGACTTTTCTTGCCATGTGTGAATCCCCGCAATTGTTAGGTTAGTAACACGGCTGCCATGTGAATCTGGCTTCCCCATTGACTTTGCTTGTCAGAAGGTTGCAAAAGATGATCACACGACCTTAGGACACTGCGACCATCATAAATATGAACCAGTTGTCAAGCACTTTAATGTAATCGACCATGGGGATGCTGAAATGGTCATAAGTGTGAAAAATGGTCACAAGTCACTTTTTTCAGTGCTGTTGTAATTTCGAATGGTCACTGAACGAACTGTTGTAAGTCAAGGACTACTTATATTCCAGAAGATTAGAATAGTGACCAAGAAGCATACCTCCCATAGACAAAGGGACTCAGCGTATGCCAATCCTACCTCCAGTGGCCATCAAGCAGACTGGTTAGGAGACATGATAGCAGTCTTCCAATATTTGAGGGGCTGCCCCAGAGAGGAAGGGGTCAAGTTATTTTCCAAGGCACCCGAAAGCCAGACAAGGAATAATGGATGGAAAATGATTAAGGAGAGATTCAACCTGGAAATAAGAGACACTTTCTGACAGTGAGAACAATCAATCAATGGAACAGCTTGCCTTTGGAAGTTGTGGGAGCTTCATCACTGGAGTCTTTCAAGAACAGATTGGACTGCCATTTGTCAGAATTGGGGTAGGGTCTCCTGCTTGGGTGGGGGTTAAACTAGACCTACAGTACAAGGTCCCTTCCAAACCTGATTATCTGTTATCTGTTATTTCCAGGATTGTTTTTAAATTTCTTTTCCCCCCGCCCAACTGTGAACTTTTAATGGGATATTCTTCAGATTTTATCTCTTTTCTATTTGTAGAATTCATTAGCAGTAAGATAGATTATCAGTCTTGAGAATAATGTGGAACCCTAATGCTGATTTATAGCAAGAGGTTCCTTTTCGCTTGTTTCAAAAACAATTTCCAAATGAATATTATTTCCTGCACAGCTGTAATAAAATATTTCTTTTTCTTTTTTTGCCTTTTTAGCCTGTGGCACGGCCTCCTGTACCAGCACACCAGGTTCCCCCTTACAAAGCTGTCTCAGCCAGATACCGCCCCTTCACCTTTTCTCAAAGCACACCCATTGGTCTGGATAAAGTTGGGTGTAAGCGTCAAATGAGAGCTTCCAATGGTGAGTTTCATTTGGGATGAAAGAAGTAAATAAAGTCAGAATATACAAGTTTTACTCTATTGTTTCCCAACGCCAGAGCTGGTATTCAGCAGTTTCTGACCAGTTCTGGAGAACCGGTAGTGGAAATTTTGAGTAGTTTGGAGAACCAGCAAATACCACCTCTGACTGGAAATTTTACAGAATCTTTCCCCTGCCACGCCCACCAAGCTATGGCCACAGAACTGGTAGTAAAAATTTTTTGAATCCCACCACTGCCCAACACCCACTCTTTGGGACTCAACTTCTGTAGAAATTCCTCTTAGAAAAAATAGTCTTCTTCAAATCTATTTTCAATTTGGATTTTTTCCCCCTGCACCCCTCAGAATCATAGTTTTAGAAGTTTGTGGTGTTTTAATGTTTGTATGTTTGCTTAATTGCAAGGCTCTTAGTTCTTTTATCAAGAAAATAAATATTTTAAAAATAGAATTGAGACATCTATGTTCCATGTATAGTATTTTGGACTGGATATATGTATTGTTTTTACTAGATGCTGCCACATTTTCTTAAGCTTACAATATGTGCTGTTCTTAAGGGAACTATAAGATATAGAAAGTAACAGGTTACCAATCCGTGTGTGGGTGCCCTACAGATGCATGTTGATATATCACTGGGTTCATCTTTATGTGGGTGTGTATCAGTGGTGGTATTCAAATAAAGTTGGCACCGGTTCGGTGGGCGTGGCTTGGTGGCCGCACTTTGCGTGCATGCACAGACTTTGTGTGCACGCGCGCGCCAAACACGCACTTTGTGCAGGCGCAGAGGTGTTTTAACTTGCCTCCTGCAAGCCTGCATGAGGGTGGTCGCTGCCGCATGGCGCTATTCTGCGCCACGCAAAGCAGCTGCGCTTTGAATTCTGGCTATAAAAGTGAGTATGGGAGCCCGTTATATTTCATCAGGCATGTAAAATTGGTGTGCTTTTAGTCTGGTCTTCCCAACCTATTAGTTTCCTTATTTTTTTTCTGTTGGGAATAAGCAGTCAACACAATAATGTATTTTAGAACAACACCACCATACAAACAGTTTGACATACTTTCACGTTTCTGGTTTATTCTTGTTTTCAGCTGCTAGTTGATGGATTGTGTGGAGGTCTTGGTTTGAGCTTGGTTGTTTGCTTGAAGATATTTCGTTACCCAACTAGAAAATAGGATTTGGTCTTATACAATAGCTTTTTCCAATTTTGACAGGGATGTTGTTTTCTCCCTGGTTGTTCCTTGATTAAGGTAGTGTTTGCAGGATTGTTTGTCTGGTGCTAATCCCTGCTTATCTGGGTTTTGGCTGTTGGAGAAGATGTGTTCTGGTCTTTCTGTTTCCTCCTTAGCTTTTTTTTTTCCAAAATCAGTAAAACTTTATTCTATTTCCATTCTCTGCCTTTAACAGAAAAATTGGAGAAAGCAATGTTTGTTTTACAAAGATAATGCATCTCCCAGAGAAGAAAAACCCTAAATTGAGAATAGAGGTAACTTGGAAAAAACTCTATTCAAAGTAAATCACTCCTGATATTTTTGGTTAAAGTAATACTGAGAACAATCATTCAGTTTGCTTGCTTAATAAAGTGTGGCTGAGGACTTTTTTATTGTCTCTTTTGAATGCAATTTGTAAATGTGGACGACTTCTGTGCCTATTGATGGCTGATGTACCTGAATGCCAAGCTTCCAGCAATTCCTAGTGTTTCTGGATTTAGTTTAGTCTAGGACGGTCACAGTTTCCTATTTAAAAATATGGTTTGTCCATGCGCTGTAAAATTAAGAAGTTTTCGTGTTTTCTGACTGGTAGTTGGTATTCATAGATGCACTTCTGCCTGTCTGTCCTGCCTGCCTGCTTATTGTGGCTATTACAGTCCTTTCCCTGTATGTTGTAGATGACTCCTAATTTTGCTTCTTGGACCTGTGTCTTTTGGCTTACTTGAGGGTTTCTGGAGAACTTTAGTTGGTTTCTTTGCTACAGTGATGCCATGTAAGTGTAACAGTCTGTTGGTTGTTTCTGAGTTATTTTTGATGTATGTTAGTTTTCTTTTTCATGTTGTTGGTTGTGCTGTAAGGCATTGAGTGGTCAGAGACTTTTCATAAAGCTGCATAGGTATTCATTTTTGGGGATATATTCTGGAGCAGGAGTGTCAAACATGCATCATCAAGGTGGCGTCATATGACATATCATGACCTTTTCTCCCTTCGCTAAACTGGGTGTGGGCGTGGCCAGCATGTGTCACATCTGGCCCATGGGCTGTGAGTTTGATACCCCTGTTCTAGAGGCAGTCAGATTTCTTTTTGTTTACCTATGTTGGATGGATTGTGATCTTCACACATGTGCATATTCATGTACATGGATTCCCATGCCCTGAATCCAAGCATGCAAATACTTTATTGCTTTGTTTTGGGGAGAAGAGATAGCAAATGCACCCTCTTTCCATTTGCAATATTTCTGAAGAATGCAAGGAGCTAAGTTGTACATTGGGTTTTCTCTACTGAGAATTAAAAGCTACAGCACTAATACTGTGATACTTCGGGCAGCTCAATAGTCAATTGTGGACTCTGGGGGATATTAAGCAGCCTGCCATGCAGCTTATTTGCAAGGCTCAGAAAGGAGTTGCAGTGCTTCAAGAAGCTTGGCCATTAAGACAGCGATTTCCTGCTGGGGAAAAATGTTTCTCTTGTGTTTAGAGCTTTATCAATAGCCTTGATAGTTAAAGTGAGTAAGTCTCCTTTCTTCATTGCACTAGCAACCTTTTATTTTTATCTTTTATTGATTTCATTGTAATTTCTTTGATCGTTGTGAGTTGCCCAGAAATAAATAAAAATAATGTCAGTGCTAATATAACAGTATATACAGGTAAACCTCGACTTAGCAACCATATTTATGTTGTTAAGTGAGAAATTTGTTAAGTGAGTTTTGCCCCATTTTACAACTTTTCTTGCCCCAGTTTGTTAAGTGAATCATTGCAATTGTTAAGAACACAGTTTTTAAATGAATCTGGCTTCCCCATTGACTTTGCTTGCCACAGGTCACAAAAGGGGATTCCCATGACCCTGGGACACTGCAACCATCATAAATATGAACCAGTTGTCAAGTATCCAAATGCTGCAATCCTCATTAGTGTGTAAAATGGTCATAAGTCACTTTTTTTTCAGTGCCATTGTAACTTTGAACAGTCACTAAATGAACTGTTGTAAGCAAAGGACTACCTGTACCAGATTCAGGGGAGGGAGGTAATACTGGTGGTATAGAAAAAAAAAACTTAAGGAACTTTTAAAAGGTTGTATACTTGGTATTCTATTTCCTGGAGACATTTTTCACTTGTTATTTGATGTGGGTACAATATGCAAGAGATCCATTCATTTATTCAATTTATATAGTACCCATATAAAACCAATGACTCTGGGTGGTGAACAATTATAAAAACTATTAAAAAGAAATGCTACAGCTTCTGGCTTACTTCTGCAGGCTTCAGTGAGTCACTTAGTTCAAGCCTGGAATCTGAAGATGGAATTTATTTTGCGTTAGATAGATTCTCATTGTAACTCCCAAGAGCTACAATGAGTTCTGCTGATGTTAACAAATAGAAAGCTGTCTCCATCACAACTGGGCCATTTCTTTCAAAAGATAGCAAAGTGTAGGGGCCAAGTGTAGAAATTGCCACGTAATGCCCGGCTGTTCATTTCCCATTGAGCCACTGAAGTCCAGGAAACCACATGACTTGCATGGATGTTTCAAAACTACAGTATTGCCTCAAAGATATTCTGAGTAAGAGAACAACACAGTTGGAGAGTTGTGGTCCAAGGAGGGTGCGGCGTCTGACTTAAAAAGCCAACAGAATTAAGCAGCACTGAGGGATTTTTCTTTTTTTTTGAAAGCTTTGAGTTTTGCCAAGCATACAGTCCAGTTGAGTTACTTTTTTGATTTTTAAAAAGTAGCATTTTCCATTGCTGCTCCTTTCAGAAAGGAAGTCCAAATACAGAAAGATACAGGGATCATTGCTTAATGTGTCAGATCAGCACAATGCAGTCACTGAAGAGATAAATTCTGACTTTGTATTTGTAACTACCATTGCTGTGCTGGGAAAGGAATTGTAATCCATGCTTAAGAACAGCTCTTCACAGATTATTTCAAGTTCCCTGGCCAGCCTTTTGCTTTCCCTCATTTGTGGGTACATGGGTACAAAGCCAATTTCTGTATACTCCCCCATATTTTTCATCTATTTTTGCCCTTCTGATTTAGCCTACATTGTTGCTAGGAAATAAGACAACAGGATACAAAGCTAGTTTTTGTGCTCAAGGTTTGCTCATCTCTAGCATTTGCAGAATTTGAATGGTGGCTTTGTAGGTTTTGGGCCACTTATGGCTGCATCAAGAAAAACCAAATGCCATTTCTTTTAGAAGAGTAAGAAAAGCACTTGTGGTTGTTGGTTTTAGCTAAGATGTATTCTGGTACCAATAGATTTTTGAAGTGCTTAAGAGAAAAGTTTATCACCATCTGAAAAGCACTTGTGATTGTTGGTTTTAGCTAAGATGTATTCTGGTACCAATAGATTTTTGAAGTGCTTAAGAGAAAAGTTTATCACCATCTGAAAAATACTGGGTGATGTCTGTAAATCCCAATAGAAGGAAATAAACAAGAAAAAAAAGCAAATAAGGCCTTAATTATAAGATCTAGCTGGCAATGCTGTCCTTAAGAATGCTTTTCCAGGATCAATACAAATACATACATTTTGAAAACGTCCTTCAAACCTTTAAACTTCATTTTTATTTATTAGATTCCAATATAATTCAAAAATGTAGTTTCTCTGTCAGGCACATTGGAATCACATATTAAAGAATAATATATACAGTATATTAGATTGAGTTTTAAAAAATTAAATTCTTATACTATTCTCCTGAAGATTAACCAAATAATATGCTACCTATCCATGGAAAACAAGATCTTTATTATTTAAGGTAACTTATTTATTAATATTTATTTTCAGTCAA